CCTCACAGGAGCTTTAATTATTAGGTAAGACGGCTGACATTACAGCTCCATTTTTCACATTTGTAACTGTCTGATTAAGTGTCCCGCTCCATTAAACTCCGATAAAGGGATGTTGCTGTTACTCCCAGTTTCAAGCAATTAACTCAGTGAGTAAAAATAATTATACAAGGAGCTCCCTCTGCCAAGGAACATCCCAGAAACCAGCCTCATGTTAAGCCTTGATTAAAGGTGAGGTTGTTAAAATAATAGGGTTTTGTCATTCACTTGCGATGGCATCCTCAGTGGAAATTTACCTCACTCTTACATCACAGACTGGGTGTAGGAAAATGAAAATCTTATCTTGTCATGGTAGATAGCAATGACTAAAACAACAACCACTCAGCGGCACAATGTGAATAATTAGAGCACAAAGACAGAGGCATACCTCAGCGCCACAGTGCAACACCATGAACCCTCCCTGGTGCGTAGTCTAAGTTTAGGTGTTGAATGGTACGTACACCCTACTACGTTAATGAAAATAATTAGAGGTAATGGTGCGTTGATGAATAGGTGGACAGTGGAAAGTAGAAGTCTTATTCCTCCCTCCCAGAAACCTGTTATATCACCCACTTAGTACATCTGAAGTGTTGTTTTGATTTCAGAGATATATGAGGTTTGGGCTGCGGCCAGAGGACAGCACCAGGTGATCCTCCGAGTCTGCCAAAGCAGCTTGTTGTTGGATGAGGGATGGATTTTACATCATAGTTCTCTGCTGTCACACCCTCTTTAATGTTTTTTTTTATTATTATCATGTTTGTAATGCTTAAATAGACGAGACGCCTCGCTGTAGGCAAATAACCTGGTATGTTTGAACCTCTCAGTGTGAGCGGATAGAGGTTGATCATTTTTTTTTATATCTGCGTCCTCTAAATATATTTCCTTTTACAGGTAATCGAATCATAAATCATGGCTGATAGCTGTCCACCTGCATGTCTGATCATGCTTGAGGGCTCTGCCTGTTAAAAGGAAGTTTTTACTTGCAGCTCTTGCTTACAGTAAAAGTGGCACCGGATCACTCTAAGTAGTAAAACAAGTACTGAGCACGGTCTAGACCTGCCCTTTCTGTCAAGTGTCATGAGATAACATTTCTCGTGTTTTGATTCTATGCAAATAAAAGTTGGTTGCTTGATTGTCATTTGTTACAACTTCTTTAACCTGTGATACATCCTGAAGGGCTGTGTGTTACCTTTGCTCAGCAGCCTGCAGGCATTTGAAGCTGTTAACACTCGAAAGCAGAGTCAGATAAGGACTTGTTCAAAGCTCAAGTCATCTTTAGGAATTGTGTTTTTATTTTCCGATCAAGTGTGGCCGTTGTGTGTTTTCCTTCGGGATGAGGGCGCAGTCTTTACGCTTAGGAGTGATTAATGCCTGCTGTCTTGTGCAGCCTGGCTGGATGGAGCAACATCTCCACGGTCTATTGACCCCCTCTGACTCATGCAGCATACAGTCGGAGAGAGAACCAAGTCTGTACAAGAGTTTAACGGCTAAAAAAGACTCTTTTAGCTATGAAGTATTGCACACTTTTACAAAAGGGGACACTAACTTCAATCATACTAAAAGTGGCTACTTCTTAATCCTTAGCTTTACGCCCTTCACGAAATGTACTTTATGAAAAACAGCTTACGGAGAGGTTTATCTTTATTTTTTATGGCTTTGTGCAAGGTACTTGTGAAGACTCAGAGTGTTACCTTTAGGGGATCCCGGTCAGCTTGGCCCCGTTTGTTGAGGAAGCAACCAGAGAACCAGAACAGAAACTATAAGCTCCAGGGTCAACTCTTAGTGTTTGCTGTGTTTTGATACAGTGTTTTACCTTTGTTGGATCCCAAGCTACTTTATGGTCATGATGGAAGATCTGTGAGCCCATGTTCAGTATTTCTGGTAGATGTCAATGATGTCAAATGGGATACTAGTTCAATTTATATCAGTGTACCGGAAAAGTAGGGCTGGGCGATATGGGAAAAAGTTTATCACGATATATATTTTTTCGTATCAGATGATATCGATATATATCACGATATAAAAAATGAAATGTAGCAGTGATTATTGGTAGCATGTCTTTTGCAATACAATAAGGTACTGCATCTGTGAGGACTTTGTGTCTCTTCGACGTTTTGTCATAAGGCGCTGCGCTAGAGAAAGCGGACTGCACATTACAGTGCTGTCAGCTTCACGTGTTAAAATGTTATGGTTGTGTGTAGCTGCTGTCTGCTACTACACAGTTGTTTGCTACTTGGTTCTAATTCAGAACATGATTGGTTCAGCTTGAAGCAGACCCGGAGCAACTCCCCTTTTCATTGGCTATTTGTATAGTCTATCAAAACATGACAGAATGCTGACTATCAAAAAACATATTGACCATGTTTTATATTAATATTTAGGGAAATTATTTTTTGATATATAATTATCGTTTTATTGCTCAGTCCTACGTAAAAGTCAGGTTGAGTCTTCCAGCGAGCTGCAGGTGTGGGAACATAGTCTAAGTGTCACATCCATTTACTGGAAAAAGCAAGTACAGCACTGATCTTTTTTTACCCTTACACAGACTTGAATGTTTTGGTCAGAGTATCTTGAAACTGGCTGTTTGATGGCCGAGCTTGAATTTCTGCTCTCTGACTTTTTTTTCAACATTCAAACCAAGCTGACATTTTCAATATTGACATTTACCTCATGCAACCCCACTTTAAAAAGAAACTATCCTTTAAGGTGCATACTCCAGATAATAACATATCCCTACAGGTGTACAGTTTTAAGATTCCTCAAATTTCCAAAATAATATAGAGTAACCCATTTAATGTGTCATGTTTGCCACAAGTTCAGTTAAACTCCTCTCCCTCCTTGGATGTGTGTATAAATTTAGGATTCCTCTGATGTTTGTCTTATGACCACAATTAGACAGAGTCTGACAGTCATGTCAGGGAGTAAAGACAACACACTCTGACCGGTTGTACTGCTATATGCTGTCTGCTATTAATAGCTGCACCTTTTTACACTCAGTGATATTGTTTCAAGTATTTGCGTAGAGAGCACATTTCTGCTAATGAATCATACACATGATGTTGAAGTGGAGAATGTTATTCCTGTGAGTGACTGACAGTTTAAAGCCACTTTATTTTAGGGTCTGTTGGAAACTACATGCCTGTGGTGGCAGGATTAAACTTTGAATTTAAGTTTTTTTAACCGCCAAATACGTCACAGGTTTATATGGTAGAAAACACATCCTCCCCTAAATCCCCAAAATGAGTACTGTATTGAAAAAACTCATTCCACTTTTAAGAGAGAGAAATTAGAAATCTCTCATGAGCAAATCTTTATGTAAGTTTTTTTCTTAAAGTTTGGATAAAGTGATTCAGTGTAAGCTGTTTCAATAAACAGGAAAGGGAAAAAAACGTGTTCATATTTAATTCCTTCAATAATTTATTTCCAAACTGTATTAAAAAACAAAGACTTTAATAGCTTTAACTCTGACTCCTCCCCCCTCCAGTCAGATTATAGGGCGACTTCTCCACTCACTCTCATGTCATCAATGGTGTGTTTACAACTCCTTTAAATTCGACAAAAACAAGAAACTTTAAAAAAAAAGATAAAAAGAGAATAGACTCATTATTGGAGTGGCTTAGTGTCATCGCTGTTTTGCATTTGGAGGATTATTTGTTTGATGGTAATCTCACAAAATGACCCCACCTAAACTGTCTCGATTCTTAATTTCTTTTTTTTTTTTTTTTTTTTTTACTTTGTGAGCTCGTCTTGGTTAAAAAAAAAAAAAAAACAAACAAACAAACAAACACTCGGATCTAAACTTTTCACATTTTCTTTGCATATAATTAACTTATCTGTGAAAGTCCAATTCTCAGAGTATTAAGAAATAAAAATAAGCTAAGACAGCACCTCCATTTAGAGAAAAAATCAAATGTTAATTTCTTGTTTTTAGATTATAGGTGATACTTGAGTAAAAAAGATAAATAAATAAATTAATAAAAATAAAGGGATAAAACTGAAATAATGAGATTTGAGACCTCTCATTAAGTCAAAATTAAGAAATAAAATTCACCGTAATGGCACATCTGATCATTTTTTGTCTTTTATGCAGTTATTTGTTTTTATTGTGACTTTTACCTCGTTTTGATTTTTCAGTCTCATAATTTTGACTATTTGACTTTTAATTTCTCTGTTTTGACCTTTAAAATTTTAAATTAAATTTATTTTTTAAGGCTTTTAATTTTGTAATGATAAAAAATGCCTTGTATTCAGGGTACTTTCCATAAAAGCTGTTTGATTTTTTTCCCATCTTTTTCTTTTTTGCAAATGACTGTAATAGGCCTCCATATAGCTCAGTGGACCGACTTAAAAAAAAAAAAAAGCTTTTATTAAAGCCTCATGGTCTGTAGATGAACATTTTTCAAGGTTTTTCATTCACACACAGAATGGCCTTATGGTCACTCTAAATGAGATTTGTATTGTGTAGCCTAGATTCTTAAATATGGGCCACTTCTTGACCTGTGGAGCATGAAAAATAGACATCGATAGAAAGAAAACAGATGGACATAAATAGAGATGCCGCCGATCCATTTTTTCCCGATCCAAGCCGATACTGAGCATATCGGCCGATATCCGAAACCGATCCAATACTACTGTTGAATGAATGAATTTACTTAATATTATTAATTAACAAATAAAAAAATGCACATTAGCACACAGCAGAAAGAAGTAAGATTTCCATGTATTAAAAGAAAAATTAATTAAAAGAAAAAAAAAAGACTGGATCAGAATCGGTGTCATTCATCCGATATCCAATCCAGTTAATTTGTCAATATCGGAGCAGATACCTGATCCAAATATAGGATCGGTGCATCCCCAAACATAAACACCCTGTATAGTCTGAGTCAGTAAGACTCTGGTTAGAGGCTCATTCACAGCAAACTGCTGCTCCATGTTCTAGTCCTGAACTGTCTATGAAGTTTATTTCACATCATCCCTCCACACTGCAGGCTGTTCCACGGCCGGTAGCAGTAGTGAAGATAGGGTTGATACTGGTAGGCCTGATACAGAGGCGCACTCATTGGGAAGTGGAGTCTGTTCATCTGCTGTTGCTGCTGCTTCAGATCGTCCCTCACCAGCACCTTCACCGCCACCCTCTTCGGTGACCCGTACGCCGTCAGATCGGCCGCCATCTGCCGCCGTTTGGTTTTATACCTCCGATTCTGGAACCAGATTTTCACCTGAGTCTCAGTGAGTTTCAGAGCTCCTGCCAGGTCTGCTCGTTCAGGACCGGAGAGGTACTTCTGCGCGTGGAAGCGGCGCTCCAGCTCATGAACTTGCGCGTGGGTGAAGGCCGCTCTGGCGCGCTTCTTGGTGCCGGGCCTGCCCTTCTGTGGTGAACCGTCAGGTGAACAGCTGACTAAGTCCTCGCTGTTCTGACAGCCTCCCTCCTCTGCATCTGCTCCCTTTGTTTGCAGATCATCCTGATGCTGACGGTGCTGGTGGAGGTGGACTGCGGCTCCTGAGGAAGAGTGTGAGGACGACAGGTGTGTTAACGAAGTCAGACACTGAGAGGCCAGTTTCTGATTGACCAGCGTTTAGTGTCATCCTTATAGTACTGTAATAAAGTCAGTGAGTATACTGAAATACATTAAAAAGTAGTTACACCGAATCAACTATAAAGGAGGAATATACATCCGGTGTTTCTGGTCCAGATTGAGTTTATTTCTCAGATGACAGAAGTTTGTAAAGATGTTTTAAAAGATGTTAAATAGCACTTTCCTCATAAGCGTGAGCTCATTTATCATCATTTCTCACAAAAATCTCCATGAAATAGGTCAACTGATCACTGATTGGCTGTTAAAATCCACCGGGTGAAGCTGAAGGATGCACAGCACGTTTTAGTTCAACACAAACTAAATTAAGATAGTAAAGAAGGATCCAAAAATAAGATGTTTAAGTCTTGAAGATCACGTAAAGGACATATCCCTGAAATTTGGGGGTTTGTTAAAATAATCCAGATTTTTAAATCAGGTCAGGACTTGATATGTGTTTTTGTAACCTGTAAATAGCCCACTGCTGGAAAAATCTCACCTTCAATTAGTCTGTATGGGAATCAAACCGTAAAAACTATGTCCCTGAGGAGAGGTTTCATCCTGATTTCTGAGCAGTTATTCACTTGTAAAATTGCTCAGTGTTTGCCCTCTTTAAAACGATGCAGATTTGTGTAAATATAACATTTAAACTTATAGTCCCTCTTAAAATCATGGTCCTGCTCACCTTCTCTGTGCTCGCCTGTCTCCTCTCCTGTGGACTCCTCGCTGTAACCATCAGACTGTATGTTTCCAGCAGACGGACTTAAATCACCTGAAAGTCTCACTTGGTTGTCGCGTCTCTTCTCCGCGTCTGTCTGAGAGGACAGATCCGGGACTGTCGCTCCATCACTCCGGGTGCAGGTGTCATACTTTGCTGCGCCAAGCTCTTGTGTACTCCAGGTTCCGGTCTTCCTTCTCCGGTTATCAGGTCCGGTGAGGATGTCTTTGATGGAGAAGGGCGAAAAAGTTAATGTCATGATTGATCGAAGCGCGCGCTCACATGGGGTTGATTTGGAGTCATGAAGAGATCAGACCCTCCGGAGCAGAAGTCCTCACTGTTTCGATCTTTTCTCTTTGATTGCTCTAATTGAATTGTGGTGAACTAGTCCAGTGTGCTAATGAACGGAATGCATCAGGAGCTGTCAAATCTATAACAACATTCCCTGCAGCGGTAGCTGAAGCTGACTTCTGATTGGCTCTTTTATCAGTCCGATACCGCCCTCGTTCCGCCCAGCGCCACGCTGTTCTGTGAGCTCTGGGTGAGGATGAGTGGGTTAATTCGCCAAACTTTGTTTCATTTTTTTAGATTTTTTTTTCTATTTTTCAACAAACATAAGTTATAATTAAATAAAATGCTCAAATCTGCGTGGATTATTGTGTTAGAGTCTGTAATGTAGAAAAAACACAGAGCATGAGACTGGATCGAAAATTGGATTTATTATCATGAAAAATACAAATTAGTTGGAGGCTAAGGTTGGATGGAATCAATTTAATGCTAAATGGAATAGTTTTGATCACTTTATGTTTTTAATTGTTCATCATATAGAAGTTGGAATTACAAATACTCATGCGTAAAGTTCACTGACCATGCGTAAAAACACCTCTGCGCACCTTTAAACCCTATAATGGTTATTCTACATCACATTTAGGGTACACATGTATTTAATTTTCCGATTCTCTTCGTGGATGGAATTAATTTTATGCTCAATGGAGAAGTTTAGATCACTTTATGTTCTTAATTGTTCATCATATGGAAATTGGAATTACAAATCCTCATGCGTAAAGTTCACTGACCATGCGTAAAAACACCTCTGTGCACATTTAAATCCTGTCATTGTTATTCTACATTATATTTAGATTACAAATATGTAATTGTCTCTTCTAAAATCTCGTGTTCAACCTTTATTTAAATCAGGTTATTTAAACTTAAACATCTGTAAACCTTAGATTATTGCTGCCTGAAACCATTAGACTCATTAGACACACAAGAAACATTAGTGTCATAAATGTAACAGAAAAGGCAGATGTTTAGTTTTGCAGTGTGGCAGATAACGAGTCTTATTGCTCATGCAGGAGAGTAGCGCCGCCGTGTGGTAATGATGCACGACATCCAAAGTAAAGCGGTGCTTAAAAAGAAAAACACACCAGCCATGCATGTTACCGCCACTCCTACCGTCTGTCTGTCTCGCTCTCTCACTCGCGCGCTCACGCCAAGGCATTACACAATCAGCAGAGCCTGCCCTTCATTGAGGAGACGCGATGACAGATGCAGAGATGTTCCTCCTCTGTGTTGTTTTGTTTTTCTTCCTCTAACTAAACACAGAGATCTCTCTGTTTGCACACAGAGCAACACTCAGCTTCAGGGTGTCAAAACATGTCCGGATGGGAAACATGGGTGCTCTGACACACTTGAATTACTTTTAATTAAGAGATCTCACGCCACAAGAGGAACAAAAGTTTGATATGACAAAACCAAGTGAGGGGAAATGGCCTTTATTATGATTATAAGGAATGGTTTTTAAACGTGTTTCCCCCTCATAGTCTAAATACACTCACTCTCTCCCTCCTGTTTCCTCAAGATCTGCATGTGAATTTATTTCATCTCTCAGTATGGATAATTTCTTCTCATAGAAACAAAGGGGCGATATTCCACCGCAGACCTTGTCCACCACAAAAGTTAGATTTTAAGATGGATTCTGAATTCTATCACCAAATGTGTCCTTTCTCATTCTGGTCGAGTAAAATGGAGTATTTCGTTTTTGTAGTGTTACTTTGTGAATAAAACTTTCATTAGAGGTTCATCTAAATGTTCTGAGTGTTGTATTTATAGGTCAAAGTGGGAAACCCCATTTTATTTTACTTCCAAGCGCACGGTGCAGAGTCAGTGCAAATCAGTTTTAGTAATGAAGCGCACAGCACACTCATCTAAGTCAGTGGACTAATCACTCATAGATTTACCTGATTTCGGTACTTTTTTTCTACCTCTATATGTGCAAATTTAATTTCCAACATTGCAGCTGAAATCTTACATCTGCGTCCACAGTCCTGCACGTTTCCCACAGATATTCAGTGTCTTTAAAAGCGAATAAGACAGACATGGAGGGCCACCTAATGGGAGCGCCTTTCTAGCTTCTCCACACACTTTTTCTTCTCTATATTTGGTCCCTGCTTCTTAAGCGAGCCCCCTTGAGTGGTTGCCATTGGAGACTTTGTTTTGGGAAACTCCACGCCTTCAGCAGCGATGAGCCGAGCTGCTATCTTTGGAAGCGCGAGATAGCGATCACCGCAGCGCCTGTCAGAGCAGCCGTGTGTCCAGGCCGAGTCCTCAGGCATCGCCGTCCTGTCGCCAACTCTATTTACACTAGTGACTGTGCAGCACTTAGAGCTGACACCAGGTATGTCGTACCGGCAGCGCAGCAGCCAGGGGAAGTGGCCGAGGAGGCCATCAGAGGAGACAAACACTCTGTTTATGTTGCCATTCATCTCCATTAATAGTGTCTGCTGAGGATTCGGCCATGCCCAGGAGGTGAAGGTGTTTGTTTAAGTCCATCTGCAATCAACGGCGTGTGTGTGTGTGTGTGGTGTGAATGTGGTTTGGTGTGTGTGAGCATGAATTTAGGCGATTGTCACACCCTCATTAAACTATTAATAGACTCATTGTGTGTTCTTATCGATTGTAATGTTTGGGAGAAAGGGTTATAGAAGTATATTTAGTTTTTAAATTTGGGAATTATTTATCTTAGAGGCATGCACATTTTTCAACAAAATTTATCATCCAAAGCTGTGTGGGTATCTCCGCGCTGTGGGTCTGAGGAGGCTGTCTGTCTGGTTATTGTCCATCTCTGAATCCTGGCCGGACATTAGCTCGCCTCTAAATTCCCCCTGTTTCTGGTTCTTGTCCAACATTTAAGCTTCTTCGCAAGGAGAAAAAAAATGGCAGGAGACTATGAGAAAATACTAAACTTATCTGCTTGAGGACTAAACCCATTCATTCCTTTCTTAAAGTTTCCCATGCAGTCATTTTTTTAGGGCCAAAAAAATAATTACATGTGCTACCGAACAAGATTAGAAACACAAAACGTTTTGCGTAAAAATGCACAACTAATGCGTAAAGTTATTTATTATTTCAACTAATCACTATTTGTATTTCTTAATATTTCCATTTACTTACACATGTAGTCACTTGTTTTATTCTGTTTGATGAGTCATTAAATGTCGTGATCCGTTAAGCCTTTTTATATTTGAATCACATCCGTAAAAAGACTTTTTCCAAAAGGCGTCCTTTACCAAACACAAAAATTTAAACAAAATAAGGAAAACTAGCAACAGTCACGCTGTTAAAAGAAAGAAAAATACTTTATTGGTTTTCCAATTAGTTCTGGTCTTATTTGTATTTCTTTTTCATAAATTTCTGGGACTAAACTGAATGATCTGCCTTTTTAGTTGCACTTTTACGCACAGAAATTCATGTTCGACTAAGATGCCAATGCAGATTTTCTTTATTTATTCCTTTGTACATAACATTCATTTTGAAACAGGAAAGGGCAACATAATGCATTCTTTTTTTCTCTCATCAGAAACACTCAGATATCCAACAGCAGGCTGAATACATGTTTAAACACTGGCTCAGAAGAAAACTGCACATTAACGGGTTCGAGTTTCCCCCACAGGCCTGCTGCCTTCACTTTGAGCCCACTCGGCCTGCTCTTTCTGTAACGTGTTAGGAATTGTGCTTTTGTTGAATTAGTTTCTCAGGTTTACATGCTTGAGTCCGTTCAGAGAAGTCTCTATAGTCCACGCTACCATGCCCGGATGCCCTGCAGAGCTCCTTGGCAGGGTGTGACCACTGCTCCTTGGGCTGCCTGGTTTTGCGTCTGCGCACCCAGGTTACCCAGATTCATGTTCATAAAAGCGTTAGCAGCGGTGTTGCTGGGCGGCAGAGCAGGTAAACTCGAGTACGTACAGGAGTAAGTGTTAGAGTAGACTGTGTTGTTGTAGCTGTAAGGTGGGTAGCTGTTGTAGCTGTACGGATTTGGAGCTCCCACTGTGTAAGACGTGTTATAGTTCTGGGATCCGGTAAGGCAAGGCCTCCCGTCTCGAACCAGCACCGGCACAGCTACCCTCCTGGGCGGCGGCGGTGGGTGGTGGTGGTGATGATGATGATGGTGGTGTCCCGCCATCTCCAGACTTTTGTCCTGTCGCTGCCTTTTGCATTTGTACCTCCTGTTCTGGAACCAGATCTTGACCTGCGTGGAGGTGAGTTTCAGGGAGCTGGCCAGGTGCTCTCTCTCCGGGGCGGACAGGTAACGCTGCTGCTTGAAGCGACGCTCGAGCTCGAACACCTGAGCCTGCGAGAAGAGCACGCGCGGTTTCCGCCTGGTCCTCTGCTGCTTGGTGGCGGGCTTCTCCGGGTCTGGGTCATCGCAGTCGGTTCTCAGAGTCCCGCAGGTCTCTGCAGGGGAAAGATTTGGATTAAAGCTGATGGAGGATGAGGTTGTGGTAATTTTTAAGAGTTTATTCAACACGTGAGTTTGACTTCTCTCACAACAGCATCTCAAAATACAGAAGCAAAACAAGATATACTATAATTATCATTATTACTTATTTATTTAGCTTTTTATTTCGACACTTTTTACCTTTTATAATAATCCAATTTAAAAGGAAGTTTTATTGTAGCTCCTGCAAGATTAAATTGTGTTTTTTAAGAAGACAATTCAAATATTTTGGGAACTGTGTGCATTTATTTATGTTTTCTTGCATGTTGCATTTAGATTGCTGGAGCTTCAGAGGTGTATTCATTTAGCTTTGTGCGTAAAATTTATATTTGCTGGTGCCTTTATTGTTTGAATGCAAAAATCAGTGCGTAATTACGCATCACCTGCACGCATTTGAACCTTGTGCACACCTAAATAAACTACTTTAGAGAAATAAAAACAAATGTGCACAGAGAGAAACTGGGTCGTGAATGCTCTGCTTGATTTGCTTTGGTAATATAGGTAAAACGTAAACGCAAATACATACAGAAATAATGCAAAAAATACTGTGCAAACAAAATCTATTATGATAATAAGAATGACCACAATGGGACATAAAAACACTTTTAATTTAATGTTCAATTTCACAACAATCTACTTCGATCTGCTTTCTGTTAAAATGACTGTTAGAGTCGGTTTATACTGACTCAGTTTACTCTTTCCGTGTGTTTAGATAAACTTTTTGTGCTTGTAATCCTCTGTCGTCTCTGCTGCAGTTTAGCCAATAAAATTATCAACAATCAGCACAGATATCCTCATCATCCCCACTCAGTTTAGATCAACACACTGATCACCAAACTCCACTCACTGCTGTCCTGCTCCTCGTGCTCGATCTCCAGCCGGAGCTCCGCTGAGCTCTGCGCCGGGTTTCCAAACATCTCCACCGGCAGCCCGGACTCCACCAGCCGCTCCTGCACCGTCAGCGTGTTGAGGTACGACATCCTCTCCTCGCTCTCGGACAGACCGGAGCTGATGGGGCTGGGACTGTCTCTGCCGGCCAGCATGCAGGAGGGCGGTGAGTGAGAGCGGAACGGTTTGTTCGGGAAGGCTCCCCCCGGCTGTGACAGCGCCCCGGAGAGACCGAAGCAGGAGAACAACTGAAGCTGCTGCTGCTGCTGCTGGGACTGCTGCTGCAACTCCAACTTCAGAATATCCTTGACAGAAAAAGGCGTGCTGGATGAAGTTATGAGCGGACTGGGAAGCATTATCACCCCCAACAGAGAAATAACAAATCAAAAAATGTTGTCAACAAGGCCTGAATTTGTCTCCGGAAGGCGCGTATGCGGAGTAAGCCGCCGGTGCGTAGGCGTGAAGGATAGTTACGCACAGCTTAATTTTCATGCAGACTGAGGAGGACTGTTTCTCTCTCAGCTGTGACATCCCCTCTCCTCTGGCTCTAGTCTGTGTTTGCAAGGCTGGGGGGGAAGAAGAGAGGTCGGTCCTGTTTGGTTGGCTGGATTCAGTTATCTAGAGAAAGAGCTGGGTCAGCCAAGATGCTGTCCTCTCCCTTTCAGTGACGTGCTGGAGCGGGGAGGGACTCCCAGACTCTGTCTGTCCTTCTGTAGGTGTGTCAGGAAGACATTTAGGCCTAAATTATGAAATAATACAAGCACTACCGACTACCTCACAGTAAAAGGTGTCCAAGGTAAGCGAGTTTTTATTTATTCTTGAGCAGAAACAGTGAAATAAAAACCCTTAAAGTCGATTATTTTGATCTCATAAGGGAAAGTTAATGATCCAAAACATTTGATTTGGTTAAGCACCTGACTTTATCCGGTAACCCTGACAGATAGCGTGTGTCATGTCTTGAATAGTCCCACGGCTTCACAGCTCTCGCCATCATCACTTCAGCGCTTTTAAGATTACGCATATCTGCGTTTCCTGTCTCGGCAATCCGTGGATAAGATTATCTGTGGGAAATGAGAGGCCTTGGCAACCCAGAGACGCATGAAGATTATAAATGTAGCCAAATGTTCTGTCGTTCAGTTATTTGTTTACTTAGCCTATCTTTGTTTTATCATTATTATTTTTATAGGCTTTTTTGCCACAAAAGATGTCTGACTTTGGCTCGATGAGTGTCTCAGATAAATTATTGTATCCGTTTTTTTTGCAGTTTGAAACAATTTTGTTTTCGTCAATTTAGGCAAAAAAAAAAAAAAGAAAAAGAAAAAGAACTTCAACAGAATCTTTTTTATTTTAATTTGAGGTTTTAGTTGTATTTATTATTTTGATAACAAAGATAAAAATGAAGCTTATACTCCTGCTACTATCGTTTAATAATAACATTAATATTATTAGTAATAACAATAACTCCATGTTCTTTTAAAGTAATTGTAGTTTGGGTATTTTGCGTAATTCTCAGGGTAACATTCCCATCTTCATGTTAGCAGACAGGAGTCCAGCATGTTTGTGTTTATGTAGCTCTAATGAATAATTAGTGAAAATGTTTCGCTCCTCTTTAGTGTCGCTTTTGTGCCACAAACTGAAACAGGACACCCCTCCTCCTCTCATAGCTGCTCTCCTATCTGTGGCCAAGTGCAGGCGCCACAGTCTGAAGGCCCCATTGCTCCCGAACCGCGTGGAAAGAGAAGGAGAGCATGCCGAAATAATCTCATCCGCTCATCCCCATCAACAAGGAGCTCTTTAGATTAGGAGAGCGTCCTCCCCTCCCCTGCTGGAGATCCATGAGACACTAAGAGAAGGAGAAATTACGCAAATAAAATGAAGTTAGTAGATGCGCAGTTAATATTCTGTTTTTTTATAATTGTTTCCCAAGAATTATAAATCCAATGAGTGGGGATTTTCACATCAACGGAGGTGATTTGGCACGAGTTTGGTGGAATTTATGAGTACTTAAGTGGAATATATTGGCTCGTAAAATAGTCCAAAAGGCAGTAAATCTGTTCAGTTTGTTTCCCAAATATTTACCCGCTGTTGTTTATGGGGTGCAATGATTCAGAGACATCAGACCAAACACAAAGAGCTCCGTTTAGACTACAGTTGCATAATGACGACTAAGACGTGACTTCACTATATTCAGAATTTCACTGTCGAGTTTAGATAAAATAGAATTAACGAGGTAATTATTCATGTCTAAGAAAAGGTGAACTCCACTTTCACTCCATATAAGCCTCCATCTTGAAGCCCAGTCGCTGATTATCGCACTAATTAGACTTCCAACTCTCGCGCTGCCTCCACTGACCATCACCGAGCTGGTCCTCGCGTGCCACCGGCATCTCGAGAGTGGTCAAGCAGAGGCGCGTGTTTACGGAGCGGAAGAGTCTGTTTCCTGCCTGTAACAAAACCCAGACTCCCCGAGAGTGTCGAGGAGGAGCTGCTCAATGCGAGTCTCCAATACATCATCTTCATCTGAGAATCAGGGTGATAAGCTGGGAGAGGTCAGAGGTCAGCACAGAGGGGGGGTGGAGAGCTCTGGGCTCCTGAGCTGGATTTAGAATAAGAAATGCACAATAACTAAGGAGAGAGCTGAAAATAGACGCATTGTGATATTAAACAACAGAAGGCAGTATGAGGAGAGAAGTGTTTATCAAGCTTTTCAATTTTATATTGATGAATTTAACTCCAATATCATAGTAGAGTTAAAAAATAAATATTGAAACACAAATGAGGGGGTCTACTCTTAGGCTTAGACTGTTATATTAAATTCACAATTTAGCACAGAATAGAGACCAGAGGATTGTGTGATAATCATAGGGGAGACTGGGTTGGTTGTTACAGAGCTTTTTACCACCAAACATGAGAGGACCATGTCATCATATAGGGGAGAGTGGGGTAAGATGAGCCATTTTTCATATTTCAGATCACTACATCAAGTCAATCCTAGTTTTGTCTCTAACTAGTGTATCTGCAGATATTTCAAGATGTTGTTCATCCCTGCAAACCAACAGAATGAGTGTAAACAGAACTGTCGTGATAATATAGCATGACAAAAAAAGTGGTCTCCTACGGTCAATTTACCCCGTGTATGGGGTAAGTCTCCACCCCAGCCCTCCTCCCTCACCTTCTCTCCCCCTAAATAACAGTCACTTCTTCACATTCATGTGTATTTTTATCTATTATACACTATTCAACTGGTACAATAATTATTTTTATTATTATTATTGCATATAACTGATAAAAAGCGGTTTTGTAAAAAGCCATTTTATCATGAGAATATCAAGAAAAGTCAAACATTTCGAATTGATGCGCATCTCCTAAATATTTGGTCATATGATCAATTTCTTGCTCAACTTACCCCACTCTCCCCCTATTGAACCTTTTGGCCTGATTCTTTGTTATATAAATTTCTATTTGGCTTTTTTTTAATGTTCAGAAAACATTGAATTCAAAACATATTCATGATTTTATGGGTTAGATAATTTTTACCATGCAGAAGATGTTGTTGTTTTTTTTGTATTAAAAGTGTCACTATAAGTCATTTTACTATCAAATATTCATTTAAAGCTCCTGTGATGAACTTTTGGTTTTTGGTGCCCCTGTGAACGACAAAAATAGGACTAACAAGTTGATCAAGATCAGTTACTGGCTTAGTCCCAGAGTCTCTTGAGGACCAGGTCTAAATTAAAACTCATCCTGGGCTACAAAGATCATCCATATCACTATGTCTACAGACGTCTTGAAAGCTCTTTTAGTGAGCGACTCTTGATGCTTCGGTGCTCCACTGAACGACTAAGAAGGTCTTTTGTTCCAGCAGCAGTGAGACTTTTTAACAGTGTATGTTAGGGTCTGACTTGGCACTGCTGCTTAGTTTGTAGAGGTATTTATTTTAGTGTTTATTTATTTTTTATCTTTTGTTGTATTTAATCATGTCCTTATCTTTTATCTCACCACTGTTAAATCATGTTTCATTGGCCTTAGTCTGTTTTTGTCCTGATGTCTCCATGCTGTTTGTCGTCTGCATGAGTCTTTTTGTCCTGGTGGTGAAATAGTTTCCCCCATGCAGGATCAATAAAGTGTCCCTTACCTTACCTTACCTTAACTCTGAAAAAGTATTGATCATGAGAAACTCACTTGATCATGAGTGTCACAACCAATCCCGGTTCCCCTAATATGATAATTTGCTTCAGTAAACAGACGTTTAATGACTGCAGCTCAATTTATGTGCAGTTGAATTTGCTTTAAGATTTAAATCGTGCTAAAAAAAATTAAATGTGTTGACAGTCGCCTTCTTCACACAGCCTTAGAAGTGAGCCGGGGTAGTTATAGTAGCAGGATAAAGCCAGGGAGGTATCAATTATCAGAGATTGCACAGACAACATGAGGCCCGAATGGTTTGATGTGCTGCCCACACAGTCATCTGTTGTTAGTTCAGAGCTTAGACATGCAGAGCAAATACATTGAGAAGGTTTTATTCCCCCCCATTGAAAACATTATGGAGTCATCAGTTTGGACAAGCAGATATTTGCAACACAGACTATTTGGATTGTGACTGGTGTTAACAGACTGGACGGCGGTGTAGTCGCTTAAAGTGCTTTTGGAGGGTCTCTCTTTTTTATGTGTTATCTCATTACCAATTAACAAATGCATAAGAGCTGTTTAAAATAAAGAAGTGAAAATCTAAAGATTGTGCTTTAGATAACCAAGGAGTTCATCTTCTATCGATAGAGAGCGACTGTGATGTTCTAAGACTGAAGCTGAAGTGAGAGCTAAATGTCATACAAAATACCCTGCTCTTCACTTTCTACCTCAAATTTCAATCATTCCTCTGAATTCACTTTCTGGTGAGTTCTGTAAAGTTGGTGTTTTGCCAGGCAGTGCTCGACATGTTTCTTCTTGTCCCCCCCCCCCCATCTCCCCGTGTGACTGGCAGGCTAACCTGTTGAAGCAGTGTCTTCTCTGCAAAGTGGCAGGTGTACACTCAGATCAGTTGTTGATCTCCACGGTGGCCCTCATCTGAAAATGCACCGAAATATGTCCGTGCAGAGGCGTGAGCTGCAAATGCAGAAATGGCGTCAATCAAAACACGCAGAGCGTTTTTTGTAGATGCTGCAAAAAAAACAAACAAATGCATGAACAAGGATGCAAAGTTGTCATTGTAACAAGTGTAACTAGAAAATGCTGCACAAGAGAAGTACTCCAAGTCGAGAGGGGGCGCTGTGCAATTTTTTAAAGATTGTGATCCATAAATAACCAGTTGTAATTAGGGGTGCACCGATCACAATTTTCTGGCTAATCACCGATCTCGACCTGCTCGTACCGATTTTGGCCGATACCAGTTTTTTTTAATCACTGACAAAATACACCATTGATGCTCTGATCTTATTTTCATGAAAAACATTGAACAATACTTGTGAAAAAATACAAACTTTTGTGTTTGTTTTAACTGCCCATAAAATAATAATCTACAGGACAAGCTAACAACACGACTTACACCACCAATAAACTGTCCTGAGCTTAAGGTTTCCTTGTAGTGAGTTCAACATGCTCCGTTGATCATGCTTCTGGATGACTGTTGTGCCGCTGGCGCTGACACACGCATGTGTGCACACGTGACCTGGTGGGCGGGCCTGTCATTTTGACAAAGCAAAAAGCTACAATGGCTGACTTTAAGACCTTTGCTGAGGTAGATAAGATCAGTGGACAAAATCGGTTTCATATGTAAGGATCAGCCGATCACCGATCCCCCAAAATTGAGGAAATCGGCGCAGATCGATCAGCCGGCCGATTTATCGGTGCATGTTTAGTTGTAATTAAACTATTTACTCAAAAATCTCCTGATGGAAATCTTGGTCAATGCAGCATGTTTGTCTCTTTGTAGACCCGAGACCCAGAGCCTGACAGAGACACAGATTTGACCGTTCTGTTAAGACTCAGATCCCTGAACACTGTATGGAAATCTGTAACTCTGTAATGACTGTAATTATCTCCCCCCTGTGCTCGTAGCTTCTGTAAAGCTGAAAGATGATTGGTATCTGATGGTTTTACCGCAGCGGTAAACTGTGTGTAAAGAAAGCATCAACACCTCCAGTGTCTGCGGGCGTACTGCACAGACTTTGTGTTGCACCGATGTGAGTGTGTGTATCTGCTCTCAGTATGACTTGACAGCGCTTTGTAGAAAAGCACTTAATGTCTTTCTACAGAGGAGCTGTTGTTTACAGTTGTTACTATAACAACACAGATTTATGATGGGGAGCTGAGGATTGACTGTTTTGTTTTACAGCACTTTGATAAGCTAATAATGGATTGTAGCATTAAGAAAAAAGAAGAGTTGTCTGCACTACCTGTTTTCCATGTAATGTTGAAATGACTTTTAGTCAATCCCTCCGAGATTAAAGGGGATTTGGGGGATTGTTGCTACCTTAAATGACTGATTTCAAGGCCTCTTCTGATGCAAGTTGTGACTTCTTGGGGCTTTTTCTGTGAATGAAGGATCTGGGTCACTCTAATACCATATTTTCCAGACTATAACTCTCATAGTTTGGCTGTCTTTGTGACTTCTACTCAGGTGCGACTTAAATATATTAAAATATATAATTTCACATGTTTATTATTTTCACACTGACACCTGCTAGAGGGCACTTTAGGCTGCTACTCCTGTACCACTGAAGATTTAAAAATTAACGTTAACTCATATCGATAACTGAGAAAGACTGAACACAAATGCCGCCAAAAAGGAAATCATATTCTGTAGATTACAATCTGCAAGTAGTGAAATATGCGGCTGAAAACGGCAATCGAGCAGCAGAGAGAGAGTTTGGAGTGAGCGAGAAAGTGGAGGTTACTCTTACTGCGATGAAGAAAACAAAAAAAGCTAATCGTGGGCAAAAAGCTAGATGGCCAGATTATTTTTATAACTTCCTTTCAAGATGTAATGTCTGATCTTTGTCTTGGATTTTGTAAAATAAATTTCCCCCAAAATGCGACTTATACCAGATACACGTTTTTTCTTATTATTTATAGTCCGGAAATTATGGGTAGTACAAAAATTGTTAGCACAAAGGTTGTTCTTCCAGTAACTTAGTTTGAGTTTAGTGTTATTACTAAACTTGCTTCACTAACTGATGGGGAAAAGTTGACTTAGGAGACGGAATCTTCAAGGTGCTTATTTTTTTTAGCTTCAAATTAGCCAACACAGCAAGAACAATGGTTCACCTTTATTATGGTTTATGTTCTCGTATGAAACATGAACAATATAACAGGGGGATAACTACTGCACTGCATAATGGCACTTTGAGATGAGCTCTGGTTATTGACTGTATGAAACATGGATGTTGTGTTGCAATAAACTCAGTCATTATTGATTACTGTACAGAACAGTTTCTTTGAAAATAACTGAGGCTGGATTAGCAAGAGTCTGAAGACATGGCACTCACTGTAGCTCTTGTTTAAATTGCATCTGTCTGCCTTACATACTTCTAGAAAACCCAACTACTCCTTTAACAAACAATTCTGTCAGCAGTTTGTGAGAGAGAACCAGGGTGGTGATTTGTCTTATAGTACTGTGGGCAAAGCTGTAGTGGTTGCAACTAGGGCCCGACTGATTTATCAGCGAGCCAAAAAATCCATATTGGTCGGGCCCTGATAGGAACTGGTTGAATGTGCTGTTGTTGTTGTTTGTATGTATGGGGTTGGGCTTATAAGAAATCTAATCATAGTTTTGTCTTCACGTCTGACACATGAGACGGTAAAGTTATGCACATGTGCGATGTGGTTGCCTTGTGCAGCTCGCTTTGTTCTGTCTTTTATTTCGTTCTTAGAGTG